AGACATTTATGAACATTAGCTGGTTATATGTTATGGAAGCAAAACTATTTAGGGTTCAGTACACTGTGTGTCCAGGATACAGGAAGTTTTAAAAAAAAACAAATAACATTTTATTGGCCCCACAAAGGAAGGGAAAGGGTGAACCTGCTGCCAGAGGCCTTGTGTACACGCATCTCTCTGTTTCCTGTGAGTGAAAGAGAGGAACAGGAAGGCAGAGAGAGAGAGAGATAGAAAATCAACTCGGGGATCAAATGACAACAAACAGATCACACAGGAGTGGAGGTCCCTTTGAACCTTCCCTGTGCGGAAGTCAGCTTTTTTTCTTTTTTCCTGTGCTCGCTCTCTCTTTCCCCTCACTTTTTTCTTTTAATCCACCGCTCCCCCTTCAAACCGGAGATAAGCTTTCAACACGCTAAGCCCTGTAAAAACAGGCCACGAGTGTTTAAGCTGAGACCAGCCTGCAAAGATGTCCCAGCATGCTATGCAGCATCAGGCTATTGCTACTCAGGTCCGCCTGTCCCTGAAAAAATGAGTTTCCTCTAGTTGTGTGTCATCGATTTGTCTTCATTGTGTGCCTTGTTGTTGCAGCAGTTATTATGGGAGGATGCAGCGTATAAAGTTGACTAATGAAGAGACATGATGTTTGCAAGTTGAAAAGGTCACAGGCAGGTATAATTGCTTGAGGTACCACAAGCTTTTAAAATGGACCTTAAACAAATGTGCAGACCTGTTGTCTACCCACTGGGCCAGAGTTGTGTAAGATTGCTGGTTCCCAGTCCCAATAAGGCCACAACAAAAAAGTAAGTGGTCACAAGACAACAAACTAAAAGCTAAAAAAAAGATTTCTGCTACACAAATTATGTGTATTTATGTTTTTTTTTTTTTTTTTAATTTCTTGTGAACTACTGGATTTACTGAATTTATCTGAATTTGACCATTTTAGGCCTAGCTTTGGTTTAAAAGACAACATTCCCCAATTCTAGTGTTGTAGATCACTAGTATTTGGTATGTTTGATTACTATTGATAAAGAATCTGATATTACAATAATATTATAAAGTCCAACTGATGCATCAACATTTTCAAAGCTAATGATTTGTGACAGGTGCTTGGATGCTGCTTATAGGTCACTGTGGGATACGTTTGCTAACTGTTTGTCTTTGCACAGTAAGTCAGTTCCGGATGCAGGCCATAAAATACTGCCTTCTAACTGTTTTATTTTTCACCACAAGATGTATACTGTGCATATTTGCCTCCTCTTTGTAAAGAACAGGGAGTTTATTTTACCAGATCAGCACTAATAACTTCAACTGCCAATCATGTAAAAAGGGAAACCTGTTTTGTTTTTTTATGAGCGAGGCAACGGAAGCAGGCTGTTAAACCATTTTGGCAAACAAGCGTCTTTTTTCCGGCTGAGGAAAACTCAAACAGAGACATAAAAAACAAACAGAGGAGCCACTAGTTGAACTGTGTGCAGGTTTCACTATTTACATGCCCGCTTCTGCACCTATTTGAACAGGTGTCACTGTGTGTGTGAAAAGGTGTGCACATTAGATAAACTACAATCGATTACTGTTGAGGTCATATTGTGAGTTCAGTGACACACACTGTAACTAAATAGGCGTGAGTCTTCCTCTCCTGCCTGTCTTCCTCCTCTTCTTGTTCTTTTTTCTCGTTCCACCCCCGTCCTCCCTTGTCCCTGGCCTCCGTTTACTGCCCTTATCCCCTAAGGGGGTCAAGGGGGAATTTCCGGAAAAGATAATCAGCGGAAAGGGGAAAAGGGGAAAGAGGACAAGAGGAGGGTCTGTTGATTCAGTTGGGAGCAGAAGACAATGTTTACCTTCCGTCGGCTATGAGGCAACAACTTTACCATTTCGGGTAAAATGGTGGTAGAAAGGTTGTGGAAAATTATTAGCTTCTAAATGCTAGCATTAAGAAGCCAGAATTTACTTGTCAGAAAACCTGAAGCAACCTTGAGAACCCTGGGGGACGCTGACACTTTCCACTGAAACGCAGACTAACACAATTCTTCTAGAATTACAAACTCTTTGAAAGAAGGGTGACTTATCTGATTTATTACGCTCATGGGGAACTTTTAAACCAACCCTAGACATTGTTGAACAATTAAAGAGCCGGTACACCCAAATCATTCCAGATAAAACTGTTGATTGTGCAATCCGTAGATTATCCAAAGTATTGTTTCTTTACTGTTAACTTTTTTAATGTAATTTAAGAACCACAAACAAATTCCCAATTACCTTTATTGTGTTGGGGTGAGGGCTGATGTCTCAAATCCTTGATAAATATAACCAAAACAATCTGCATTGGAAGATACCATAGAGGTATGAGAGAGAAAGTTTTTTTTTATTTTGTAATTTTGTAAATGAACAAATCTGAAGGAAATTAAAATATCTATGCAGACAAAGACCAGAAGAAGACTGATATCTAATAAAAGGTAAACATCATCTTGATAAATCAATATATCTCTCTCTAACACTAACAGATATCAGAACATTGCTTCCACGAATACTTCCACAGCCTGTAAACTCACGGACAAACAGGTAAATACAAACAAACACAGTTCAGTAGGAAACTGTGAGCATACATTCACCCGAGGGCAAGTCAACTGTGCTGGCTGTAAGAGCTCCTTCCTCAATATCAACAGGAAGCCCCTTCTCCAGGAAGCTATTAACAGGTTATGGGATCATGTTCACAACGCACTAAAGAGACACAGACCCACGCACAAGGATTTACACCGCTCTGGTGTGCGCACTGTAAAACAAGGCCTGTGTGCACTTAATGAGATGGAAGTGGAAGTGAAGGTGGAAATTGGTCATTAAATGTTCGCTCGTGTCTCTCTCTCCTGCTTTTGTACACAAAAAGTTCATATGTGTGTTGTTGAGTGGCCACGTGTATGGAAACAGTCTGAGGCCTTCAGGGGACATTTCTGCAAAGTGAGGTCATTCTGGCTGATTTTCAATCCTTCAAGGAGTGACTTTTGGTTTTACATACATATTGAGATAGCATCATTTCATGGTGTTTACTGTATTTCAAACTTTGAGGGCTTCTCATTTGTGTTCTCTTTCTGGAGCTTTCAAGACAAATGAGTAAGTGGCACTTGAGTCAAGCTCAATAACAACATTTTGTCATATAGTCTTTTCATAGAGTTCCATCTCTAAATAAAGGTCAGAATAAATCTTTAAAAAGGTTATTTTCTACATTTGCCAGAATACTTTTAAGATAATTAGGGGGAATTGTATCGTCTGTCTGAATACAAGTTTTGTGTATTTCGATGTATAACAGCAGAGCACAGGTAACTGAAATGGAAATGAACCAGACTCTTTACTCTCACTTTACTCTTTGAAATTAAATTCATATTTGTAATTTGTTTAATATTGTAATTTAACAGAACTGACAATGGTCAATGGTAAATATGTTTCAGCATCACTAAAATATTTGAAGTGATCAAATTAAAATAGCTGTGACAAACGTGGACATTTACGTCAGGCGAGTTGTCCATAACTGCCTTTTTACTAGTGTTAAAGGTCCAATTCGCAATTTTCAACCATACAAATGTGATAAAAATCCCCAGGTCTTTCACAAGTCTAAGAGAACTGGTTCCCTCTCTCAGCAGGCCGCACCACTTTATGTAACAGGGAGGGAGAGAAAAGATAGGAGGAGGAAAACCAGTAAAGCCAGAGAGGAAGCGAAGGATGTGGTGGGGAGAGCAAAGGGCAGCCAATGAAGAGCTCCCCCTTTGTGTGGCTTTTTTACTGCTTCCTCCCGTCCCGGCCACATCGCTCACCACATCTCAGCCGCTGGAAAAACATAAACAGCTTAAGTCTCGATGCTCAGCGAGCACAAGCCAAAACATTTCAGTCACTGGCGGAGAAGAGAGGGACACGTATCACATAGGAAGCTATTATATGGTTATATGGTTAGGGAGGATGAAAATTAGAATACTTATTAAATTTCAAGTTAAAGAGATACAGTATGTCAAGAACATGTCACATAAAGTCTTTAGACAGTAAGTTACAATATTGCCCCTTGACTTTCTATGTCAATTATGAGGCACTAAATCAAAATTATAAGTGAAAAGCTTAATTTACAAGGTCAAAGACATGAGATAATAAGTAAATCTGGCTGGAAAGTCACAATGTTGATTGAAGTATATCTTACGACATTAGAAGTCCCAACAATGGCATACTATCTCATAATAGTATTTGATAAGATACACACCCTGCAAAAAAACTAAGTATAAGTTTTATACTAGACCAGAATCACAAATTATGTTTGTAGGCCCCGCCCCTTAAAATCCGATTTTCAACGAGCACAGAGAAACTTTCCATTTTCAGCAGATGAATGTGAAAACATCCTAGTGTCAAACTCTGCACAGACATCATTCTGCACAGTGAAGATAAAACCTCCAACTGCAGGAACAAGAAGAAAACATATTTTTGAGTGAAGGAGGACATTTTCTTGACAGTAATGGGATTCCATACGGTGACTCACCCAAATCTTTTTAACTAGTATGACCTATCAGGCCTATATTTGACCTATAAAAGTAATATGAGGACTCATTTTATATTATTATATTATACTGATATTTCAGTCTTGCAGACACCGTGTGAACTGAGTGCCGGGGATGTTATCAGCCTTCTTCAAAGATACAAGCAATACTAATAACATCAGTGAGATACAGCATTTAATGTATTCATATAAATAATATTCAATGTGTATTTGAGGCAATATGTAGCACCACTTGGTTTTAAAATGACATGGCATTATGTAAAGCTGCAAACAGATTACAATAAAAGAAGAAATTGCAGAAGTAACTAACTGCTAAAACATGCCAATACACAAATTTACACATGTAAACACACACACACCCATACA